CCCCCCCCCCCCCACTCCATTACGAGGGCCGGGGAAGTACCAGGGCCACCCGATGACATGGGTTTCTCTGCTTCCTCTGGGAACTCTGTGACCTTGCGCAAGTCAGCTCCATCTCTCTAGCTTTGATTTTCCTTGTATTCCTGTAAACCCTGAATAGTCCCTGCCTTTTGTTATCTCGTAGGGATGCCAGGAGAGCAAAGTGACAGGAATGTTTTCCTTTACATGGAGCTGACAGTGCTGGGTCTCTTCTTCCAGGAGTGACCTGCCATGCGGCTATGAGGCTGAGGACCAGGCCAAGCTGTTCCCTCTCCACCAAGAGACGGCAGCCAGCTAATCTCCCTCACGGGCTGCCGCATACCTGCCGCACTTTCAGGTAGCTCCAGGCTGCTTTCTCTGACCAGCCTCAGGGTGCCTCCTGTCTTGCCCTCAACCTCTTCGTTTCTCCTGCTTTTTTTATCGTCTCAAAACTTTTAATATGTAGTTGTCCCTCAGCTCCTGCCTTCCCTTCCTAGGGGCTACTTCGGTGCTGGCCCACGGGCTGTGGACACTGACCTCCCCATCTCCCTGAAGCTTTCCTTTTGGCTAGAGTAATGACCACAGTACTGCGTTGCTGCCACTAGGGGTTGCTGCCACATGTCAAAAAGAGTGAGCGGGGATGGTGCCCATCTAGAGTCCCGCCCAGGTCAGGGAATGAAGTAGATGTAAGGAGACTTGAGAGATCATCCCAACCCTCTCTCTGCCTCCACCCTGAAATAATTTTGGATGGATAGGTATTTTCGGAACTAAGACACCTCCAGTAAAGGAGATGTTTGCTTTATCCCTACACCTGTGTCCCATACACCTCGTATCTGTGTATGTTACCAGTAAGCTCCAGGAAATGCCCCAGGAAGGCTAACTTTTTGTCTCTATACTTCAGTGTCAGCACTCCCCTCCCACCTTGCTCAGTGGAGGTGGAAAATAGCCGTGTTCCCTCCCTGAGCCCCCTTCTTCTGCCTCCGCCCCCAAGTCCTCTTTTCCAGCAGCGATGGCACCTTCCTGGGTCTTGTGTGTCACCAGTCTTCTCACTTGCTCTAGGGCCCAGAACTGGACACTAGGAGTCTGTTTATTTCCCTCTTTGGAGAACCAGAAACGAGAGGATATGGTCAGTCTCTTACTGGGCTGCATCCAAGCCAAGCCCACTCCAGGGGCTTTCCGGGATAGTAAGCCGGACACAGTCAGGCAGAAAGACACGAGGGGCAGAGAAGTAGGAATGGGGAAGCAAGGTGAAGGTCTGGGGTAGAGGAGCAGGGGCTGGGAGAATAGTGTCTGGTTGTTGGTATTCAAGGAAGAAGACTATCAATCAAATTTGTACAAATGCCACTCTGTTTCCTGTTGAGCGGTTGGGCTACAAGGTGGTTCCTCATGACCTCTTTCTCTTTCTTCCCCAGTTTCTAAGAGGGACTGAGGCCTCTTCTCTCAGCATGCTGCAAACCTGTGGTCTCTGATACTAACAACTCCCTCCCCAGCCCTTGTTGTTTGACTGTACCGTTTGATGTCTACTCTTACTCTGTATCTCTTTGTACTCTGTATCTATATATCAAAAGCTGCTGCTATGTCTCTCCCTTCTGTCTTACTCTCTAAGTATCTAATGATGTATTTAGCAATTTCTAAGCATAGTATACCCTCCTCATTTGGGGTAATAGGGAGGAGGGTGAATGTTTCTTCTTTCAAACACGCGTCTCTCACACTGAGTGGTGTTAGTCACGGAGATGGTAAAAGGAAAAATGGGAGCTAGAGGGCTGTGATCCTTCTCTCTCTCTCTCTCTCTCTCTCTCTCTCTCACTCACACACACACACACGCACACATGCACACACGCACACACACGCACACAAAGCCTTAAGCAGAAGAATGTCTTAGCATCATAAGAAGATACAGAAATAGACTCTTCCTCCCTCCTCTTTCACATATAGCATAGGGGAGGGTAAAATGGAAGGACTGCTAAATTACATGTAGAATTTTATTCATATACCCCTCATCTGAACCGAGGGAGTCCGGGTGTGCAACTCTACCCTCCAAAGTGTACCTTGGGCCTCCCTCTTCCTGTCCCCTGACCCCCCTGTCCCAATGACCGAGGACATGGATTGTTCAAGGGACTATTTCCCTTTCTCCTCAAAACTCCTTTTGATATTCTCTGCCCCAGAACTCATGAACAGAACCTAGAGTTAACTTAAAATATTTTGGGAATTTGAGGAGGCAGACTCTTCACAACAGTCTATCAAATGGTTGCTCATCTGTCAGGTGATAGTTATAGGCAAGCATAGCCAATGATTGCTTCTTTGGGTTTGGGGGGGGGTGTGAACACACTGGGAAATTCCAAGTGTTTTTTGCCACGGTGAGGAGCTGGATTCTTTTCTCTGTCCCATATTGGGCTGCATGTTCTTCCCATCTCCACCTTTTGGTTTGGGACCTTCCAGTTCATTGACAAAATATCTATCTCAAGATGCTTTCCTTTCAGGCAAGAGCCTCACTTTACCCCATGATATGTCAAAAAATTTCTCTTGACACAAATCCTTTGATAATATGTCCCCATCTGGTACTAAGTGCACTTTAAAGAAAGGGGCAGAGCAGACTGGGGGGAGGATGGTTAGAGGGGAGTGCTCTTTCCCCAGCACCACCCCATGTAATTGATAGGACTGTTATTTTAGTGTCCTTCCACATGGTGCTAGGGTGGTTTATCTAGGTAACTGCAGGGATGGAGAGTGGAGGTCATAAGTCGCTCCAAATCAAGAAACAAAGCCTGATGTCCAAATACCCAGTCTTACGTAGGGTGGAAGAACAGGATCCCCCAGCAGGGCAACCATCACCTAGTTTCGAAGTCAGGAAAGAAAGCTTGGTGTGAGTACCAGCTGGCAAATATAGGTTGTATCGGCCTGTGACTCCTTCAGGGGAAAAGGTTCCTTCCTCTGTTACCTGTTGGGCCCCTTTTTAGCAATTAGGGAGACATGCAGGGAAAAATATACCAGAAGGGTGTAGAGTAAATCCAAAGCAGTGATATTCAAACATTTTTCAAAACAACTCTTTTATGGAACCCCGATATAAAAAAATCACTAAAAGTGAGGCAGATCTGGGCAGTTTCCATTTTCTTTATTTGGTGGAAAATGCTTCCTTGGTGGAGAAGCTCTTAAATAGTCTTAAGAGTTTAGAACCTGAGGGTTCTATAAAGTAGTTTGAAAACCACTGCTCTGAAGGAAAGGGGTTCCAATCTGCCTCCCCTGCCCCAAGCCCATAACCTAGAGCAAAGAGGGAAAGTCCCAATGGGAGAAGAAGGAAGCTACCTATGCCCCTGTAGACTTGAGCTAAGATTTGCCAACAGGGCACCTCAGAATCACTTGGGCTTTATTTAATCTTGCCACCAAATGATTCTTTTAAAACACTTAAGAAACTGTGAAGGTGTAGGGCAGATGAGGAGAGAGATGTAAGGGAAATATAATTCACTTACATAAATAAGAACACACACACAAGGCCTTCACCAGAAGCTTCACTCTACATCCCCCCACCCCTTCCCACCACCACAGCATCCCTTTCGGAGAGCTAGGGTCACCACAAAGGGGCACCTGGCCTGCCCACTCACATCTGCCAAAATGTTGCATGCCAGCGTGGAAGACAAACCAAACCGCACAAACCCCAGTGTGTATTTACTTGATGTACATAGATACCTTGAAAATAAAATAAATTCAATGATGACTCTGTGGTGTTGTAAATCTTTATCCCTCCCCGGTCTCACTCCCTTACTTGCTTGTAATGGCATTTGACAGTGTGGTGGATATCCTTCCAGATGTTTCTCTATAGATTTACACACATTTTTTTTTTCCCCACTTGACAACATTCTGGAGATCTCTTCGTGTCATCATGTGTAGATTTGCCTCATTAACATATAGATATAATTTTTCAAAAAATGTATTCTATAATTTATTCAACCATTCCGGTACTGGTGGACGCCTATCTAGGTTGTTTATAATTTTTAACAAAAAATGGTATCCCATTCTCTTCATTTTTTCCCACAGACCATCACCTCAGTCCCAGTATCAATTCTGTCCCTCTCCAGTGGTGCCTGGGTGGCTCAGTCTGTTGAGCATCTGAATTTGGCTCAGGTCATGATCTCACGGTTCATGGGTTCAAGCCCCACATTGGGCTTGCTGCTGTCAGTGTGCGGAGCCTGCTACAGATCGTCTGTTCCCTTCTCTCTCTGTCCCTCCCTGGCTCATTCTCTCTGTCTCTCTCTCAGTCATTCATTCATTCATAAGGTAAGCGCTACACCCAACATAGGGCTTGAACTCACAGCCCAGAGATCAAGAGGCACGTGCTCTACCGACTGAGCCACTCAGGTGTCCCCTACCTCCATTTTAGAGCTTACCCCTACATGTCCTCTCTGCTCATGCCTTGGAGCTTCTGAGATGAGTGGAGAAAACTGCAAGACCAAAACACCGGGGCAACTGAAAGCCTAGGAAGCAAACTGGCTCTTGGGTGTTGCTTACCACTTCTGTGTATCCCTACTCAGTTTCCTCCCCTGCCTCCCAGAGCAGGTGGTTAAAACTCCTCACCATCCTTTCTCACCTCCTCTCTTAGGCAAAAATTAAGGCAACTGAGCATGAAATTCTTCATCTCCTCTCCATACCTACACACATACCTATATCTGCACTAATCCTTTCCTTTCTTCCTTCTAACAAGTGGTGCCTGGGTGGCTCAGTCTGTTGAGCATCTAACAAGTGATAAATCTTCTCTGGACTAAAGCAAATCTCTTCTATATCCTTCATTCTTGAGATACTTACATAGACCCAATATATACAATACCCAAAAGTGATGCAGATGGGCGGTTTGCATCTTCTTTGTGATTTCTCCACTTCTTGTAAGGTCTCCCTGAAAAGTGTGTTTCTTTTATTTTTTTAACCTACTCTCTATGCCCAGCGCCCAATGTGGGGTCCAAACTCATAATGCTGAGATCAAGAGTCACATGCTCTATTGACTGAGCCAGCCAGGCGCCCCGAAAAGTGTTCTTTTACTGTGTTTCTCCATACATGACTCCCCATCTTGTTTTCTTACAGCCAGATTTCCTGACAAAGTCTCAAGCTTCCCCTCCCCACTTCTTTGCCTCCCATTCATTCCTCAGCTCACCTTGAACTGGCTCTTGTTCTGCTGACACAGCTTCTCAAAGGTCACTGGTTGCCAAATACAATGGGCACTTCTCCATCCTTGTCTGCTTCACCCCTCCATGACATGTGACACAACTCTTGACTCCTTCCTTTTGGAAACTCTACTCTCTGGTTTCTGTGACCCTGCTCTCCTGGCTCCTTTCATTTAGTCTTATTAGTCTTCTCCCACTGGCATCTTAAATGCTGATCTATACCACGCTTTCTCTCTTAAATGCTGGTCTATACCATGCTTTCTCTGGGAGATGTCCTCCACACCCACAGGTTCTCAATTACTCAATCTGTATCCCCAGCCCAGACTATTCTGCTGAGCCCTGGGCTCATATGTTCAATTGCCCTCAGGTACCTCAAACACACTCCAAACTGAACTTGTCACCAAACTGCCCCCTTTCAGGTCACCACCACCAGGTCAGCCTGGGATTCATTCTCAAGGTCTCCCTTTTCCTCAAGCCCCACATCCACTCAGAATTTTTCAAATTGACATCAAACTGTATCTTATTTTTTTTTAATTTTTTAAATGTTTTATTTATTTTTGAGACAGAGAGAGACAGAGCATCAGCAGGGGAGGGGCAGAGAGAGAGGGAGACACAGAATTGGAACCAGGCTCCAGGCTCTGAGCTGTCAGCACAGAGCCCGACACGGGGCTCGAACCCACAAACTGTGAGATCATGACCTGAGCCGAAGTCGGACACTTAACCAACTGAGCCATCCAGGCGCCCCAAACTGTATCTCTTTTAAAAATGTTTATTTATCTTGAAAGAGAGAGAGAGAGGCAGAGACAGTGGGAGAGAGTATCCCAAGCAGGCTCCATGCTGTCAGTGCTCTGAGCACCAAGCCTGAAGTGGGGCTCAATCCCCCAAACTGAGATCATGACCTGAGCAGAAATCAAGAGTCCCATGCTCAACTGACTGAGCCGCCCAGGCGCCCCTCAAACTATACCATACCTTTATTTATTTATTTTTAAGTTTATTTATTTTGAGAGAGAATGCATGAGTGGGGTAGGGACAGAGAGAAAGGGAGAGAGAATCCCAAGCAGTCTCCTCACTGTCGGTGCAGAGCCCGATGTGGGACACGAACCCACGAAGTGGGTTGTGAGATCATGACCCGAGACAAAGTCAGACGGCGTAACCAACTGAACCCCGCGCCCCTCAAACTATATGCCTTTACATGCCATTCCCTCGTTTCCATCCCAACAGCCACTGTTTTAGTTCGCCATCTTCTGTCTAGACTTTTAGAATACTCCTCCAGTCACCCTCCAGAATGATGCTTGAGTGGTCCTTGTAAAAGCACATTTAATCCATCGAAACCACTTAAGGAATCTCCTACTTCGTAAAGCAGCGCTTTGGGGAGGGAGGTTACTCCTAGAAACTGGGCAAAATCGGCAGGCGGCGACTTTGCAGCAACCGAGCCCCACCCACTCCATCCCTGGAGTGAATCAGGCCTGCCCAGGTCGCGTCCCCATCGCCTCGGAGGCAGGTCCGGGCCTGGCTGACAGCCGACCGCCCGCAGGGAACACGGCTTCCGAGCGCCCGCCCCCAGCGCCAGGTGAACCCACCCACCGCGCGGACGTTGGGGCCGGGCTGGCGCCAGGGGGCGGAGCCAGTCCCGCACCGCCCTGCTGCGCGCCTGCGGGGCAGCCTCCGGTCACGTGACGTCGGCCCAGGTGAGCACCGCTTCCGGGGTCGGGAGCCTGCTTCGCCGCCGCTTCGGGTTTTCCACTCAGTCGGGTGCACCCAACGGAGAGGGAGGCTATGGCGTCCTCCTCTGTCCCGCCGGCTACCGTATCGGCGGCGACAGCGGCCCCGGGCCCGGGTTTCGGCTTCGCCTCCAAAACCAAGAAGAAGCATTTCGTGCAGCAGAAGGTGAAGGTGTTCCGGGCGGCCGACCCGCTGGTGGGCGTGTTCCTGTGGGGCGTAGCCCACTCGGTGAGACCTGGCCTTAGCCCCCCGTGAGCCCCGTCCAAACCCAGCTGCTCGTGCTCCTCCGGGCGTCCCTGTTTCCACGCTCCCGCCTGCGGAGCCCCTCGCGCTGCCACTTTTCCCCGCGGCTGTCCTGGTCCCTGCCCACCAAACCTCAGGTGTTCCCCGGCGTATCTTGTTTTAGACGTTGTTGCTTGGTTGGTTGCTTTTTGAAATGTAGGCTTTTGGTTCCCCCTCCGCCCTACGTTCCACCACCCTAGTTCCGCCTTCTCCACCTGAAATCCAACTTTCTCCCTTCTTCCTGCCGGGTCCAGCCTCAGCCCCAGGCCACAGAGACTGGCCCGGACCCGGCATCAGCTGTAAGGACATTAGGGGGAGTGGTTTTTCAGGGTTGGTGGTAGAGAGGTCTCCGGTGAGAGTGTGCGTGTGGAAGGGGAGCAGGGAAGGTAGCTGGATGAGGGGGATCGTTCGCTTTCCTTTCCAGCTGCTGTCCTTGATTTTGGAACCTTGGCTTTGAGGGAAGTTCCAGGCTTTCCTGGACTTTCTGATCCTACTTGTCCTTTCCTTTCCCTTCCAGAGGTACAACATTTCAGAGAAGCTACCCACCCTCAGCCTCATTAGGACTTATGTATGGTATATTTCTTTGGTCTTAATTGCATCCCTGTTGCTGGCTGGAGTGATGGCGTTTGGTGTAATTGGGGGACATCTCTGACCAAACAGATGGCTGAGGAGCTCTGGTCCTGGGGACACTATGATGGCGAACTTTAGAAACAGGTAGAGGCTATGACCTGGGAATGAGGAGGAGGCCAAAGAGGCCAGTGAATCTCTTTTTCTTTACTCAGGTGCAGGATGCACAACTGTTGCCCCTTTTCCCTCAGATCTGGAGTGGGAGGGATGCGGTGACTTTGAATGTAACAGGCAATATTTTATGAATGCATTTCCTTGAATTGTTACACTCATGGCAGGAGGTGAAGAGAATACAGTTTTTGTCCCCTCCTTAATTTGGGGTTTAAAATGTCGTTGGGGGTCTGCCAGCTCCCTTTTGCATTTGTGGTTCTGTGGACTGCTCCCAACTCCTGGGTGGTAATATCTTTAATTAGAGAGTATCCAGGCTAAGGCACTTGGGATGGGCAAAGCAGATGGAGGTAGGGCTGCCTCTCATACGTACCTTCCAGGTGACCCATCCATCCCTTTGGGAAGCTTAACAAGGAGGATTTTCCTTTGCTAAGGATAGAGGGCGTTACATGAGACCTGCCTCAGCTTCCCCAGGTATATATACTTTAGCTCCAACACCCCACCCTCCAGCCAACACACATTTACTTCAAGTGTCTAGAATGGAGAATTCCTTGAACATATGTCTTAGTGATGATTCAGCCTGCTTAACAGCAGGTGGCGAGGAGGGGCATGAAGAACTGTAGCTGAATTTTAGGCTGGGAATCTCAAGTGGCTTTTTTCCCCCACCCTGGAGGAATATGTTCTGCCCTCCTTTTCTACTGAGAACGAGAGGAGCACGGTTTCACTGAAATCTGTGGGATTTAGGTTAGACTGCACTTCATAACCTGTGTTGAATGATCAAGTAAAGTTAGGCAAGGCATTCATTTATTCACTTAATAAACACTTCAGGACCCCTTGTGCCAAACATTATGCTAGCAAGGCACCCGAGAGATGCAGACAATTACAGCTGGTCCTTGCCCTTGAAGAGCTCATGATTTAGGTGGGGAATTTACATAAACTAGCCATTAGAGTCATATGATAAGTGCACTATTAAAGGTGGGTGAGCAGTACCATGGCAACGCTGGGGGGAAAACACATCTCCTTGGGATTTCTTAGTACAGGAACTCCCTTTCCACCCAAAATTAGCAGATGGTTGGCTCTGGGTGCCAGGGAGGGCATGTGTTGCTCGCCTCCTTTGGGCCGTGGGTTGGCTTGACTTTAGGAACAGATACCTTAATGAACTCTTATCTTCCGCCCACCTGCATTCCCCTTTAGAATCAGCTGCTCTTCTTTACCTTACACCCAGGCAGGTGGGGACCTACTAGAGAGACCTGGGTCAGGGTGGTCTGGAAGGACTGGTCCTGTTTGTAAGGAGATGCCTCCTGCAGGATGTGGACATCTCATTCTTGTTGCTGTTGACTCCCCGGAGTCCCATTAACGCTCTTGTGTACTTTAAGGAATGCCTTTTGTTTTGTTTTTAATGGAGCATGGAACTGTTTGTCTTGAGTCTGCTGAGGGTATTTTTTTTTTTTCTTTAGAACTTCTCACAGCTTTAAAAATAGTCCTGAGCTGCTTACAGGGTTTGCCTAATATAAAATGACTGCTGTGAGCATGAAGTTCCACGGGGGTGGAGTGTGAGGGGCTGTGTGTGGGGGTTGCTCACTGCAGTCCTTGCTGGGCAGCAGAAGAGGTCAACGCACTCTCTCACCTCTGGCAAGTAGTTGCATAACCAGTGTTTTTAAAGGAATGAGGTTTGAGTTGCCCTTTTGTGACTCTTGCCCAGACACAGTGTAGAAGTAGCTCTCCATACCCCTACTCACTGGCTCCCTATTCTTGTTTTGGCTTATCAGATCAATGAGCTCAGCCAGGTGCCTCCCCCAGTGATGCTGCTGCCAGATGACTTTAAGGCTAGCTCCAAGATCAAGGTCAACAATCACCTTTTCCACAGGTACGTGGAGATCCTTGCTCTTCTCACGTCAGCCTTCCCAGAAGAGAGTATTACGTAAGTTTAAGAGTTAAGATGCCATGAGTTGAAGGTTTTAGATGTGGAAGGCAACTTACAAATTCCATGTTCTAACCTCCTTCCCAGTGCCGAAATTCAGTATCGTGCAAAGAAACCATTGTAATGACTACCAGTGTAGAGAACGCTGGAATAGTTATACTAGTTTGCTTTTCATCTGAGCTGGTGATACCATAGAGTAAATATATTTGGATGCCCTTACCATTAGCCTTCTGATAGAGACTGCTTGAAAGAAATATCTGAGTCTCCTAAGTGCTCCCGGTATCAAAAGATGCCATTCAAAACTGTGGCACCTATTGCCAATTTTAGGATGTCTCGAACTTGCATGAGATTTGGGAAACACTACTGTTTGGCTGGGCATTAGATCCTGGTTTGTTTAAGCTGCTTACCAGCCATGTGTTTGAAGCAGGCCCCTCAACCACCCTGTGCTACAGACTCTCCTTCTATAAAATACCCCTTTAAATATAGGGAATAAAATAAAGGAAAAATATACCCCTTTAAAGGACTTCACAAGAGTTTTATGAGACTCAAATAAGGTAATGTGTATGAAGGTGCTCTCTAAACTGTCAAGCCCTGTATAAATGTAATATTGTTAACTTTGTTTTCTTACCTTGAAAACCCTTATTTCAGGGAAAATCTGCCTAGTCATTTCAAGTTCAAGGAGTATTGCCCCCAGGTCTTCAGGAACCTCCGTGATCGATTTGGCATTGATGACCAAGATTACTTGGTGAGATTACTCGGGTTTTCGGGTGAGGGGAGTCATTTCTCCCTAACAAATGGGGAACTCCTTGGGCCAGTCATGTTTGGAGATATGAGAGCCTTGACAAGTCTGATTCTTTACCTATTTGTGGTCACAGGCATCTCAAAAATCTGATGAAAGCCACTTACCCTTTCCTTGGGGGAAAATGTGGCCACATTAAAAATTTTGCTTTCACTATCATTCAGTCCATAGTAGGGTCATCAGATTAAGATACCCAGCTCAACCTTTTATGCAAGGGTTTTATCCACTTTCAGGCACATTCACTTGACCATTATCCTATGACTTGCATCTCCATGCAAAGAGGAAAAGAGCCTCTGGCCTATTTGTGTCCCCAGGTATCCCTTACCCGAAGTCCCCCAAGTGAAAGTGAAGGCAGTGATGGTCGCTTCCTTATCTCCTATGATCGAACTCTGGTCATCAAAGAAGTATCCAGTGAGGACATTGCTGACATGCATAGCAACCTCTCCAACTACCACCAGGTCAGGCCTCTTTCCAGCTTCATTCTTTCCCCTTCCTCTCTATTCATAGTTCGGCTGCTAGAGCACATTGGGAGACTTCCTATCCCTTCTCCTCCCTGCAACCTATTTTGCTTCCCAAGAAGCACTTGACATCATGTATTTGAAAACGAGGAATTTCAGAAAAAGCCTCTGAATACCTCGTTGTGTTCTTTTCTAAATAGGAGAAGTTAGACGTGTTCCTTCTCCTTTGGCATTTATAATCGAAAAGCACTGTGGATTGATGTGTAAAGGGCACACATACAGCAAAGTATAAACTGTAGACTAAGCCAGAATTAGGTGAAGTGTTAATGCCAAATATACTGTCAGGAATAAATGCGGTTTTGAAGAGAAAATCAGGATAAGCACACAATTGGGGATAAACTGGAGGAGAGAAGCCATGATCACATCCAGTCCTAAGTGGGATTAGGGAGGCTATTCTGTCTGATTAGATTAACTTGGAATGTGGAGTTTCTGGAATATTTTGGTGATAAAAACACTGAATATCTTCCTACTGAAGAAATATATCCCCAAAGTCAACGAGCAAGGAATAAATGAAAGACTCGAAAAATGTTTGGTTTATTCAAAAAACCAAATGACGAATGACGAAGGCTGGAGGAGGGATGGCAGCGGACACACAGAGGAAGACCTGTGAGAGACTCATGGGAATTCAGGCAGAGGTGCCTCCAGATTCCTGGTTAGGGATGACTGGGTGTCCACTCATTAACAGTTGGGAAGCAGAAAAAGAAACCGGTTTTGGGGAGAAGACAGCTTTGATTTAGATGTGTTGAATGCAGGGTTTCTACAGTTCTTCCAGATACAGATGTCCCGTAAGTGGTTGGGGAGTGGAGTTCAGGAAAGTAGAAGTGTAGATTTGAGAGTTACAGGTGAGTAGATGGTAATGAAAGCCGTAAATATGGATGAGGTTATTGATGGGGAAATGTGTGGAGAAGACCTGAAAAGAAGGCTGAGGATAGAACCTTGAGGAGCAAGTAGAGAGAGGAGCCCATGAAGGAGACTCTGAATCGCCGGATGCCCTGGTTTGTTCTGTGTGGGATTCGAGGAGAGACAGGAGGAGAATTGGAAGAGTGGCAGAGTGGGGCTCAGGGTGAAGAGAGTTCTGGCGAGAGACTGGTCAGTGGGATCCGGTGCCACCTACTTGAAATACAATGACTAGAATCCCTGTTGGATTTGGCAACTGAGGGATCTGAAGAAGGGAGGAGTAGAGAGATTTCAGAGGAAAACCGAGGGTATGATCTGATTTTACTGGCTTGAGGTGTAAACGAGAGGAAGTAGGTTGATTGCGGACTACTTTTCCGAGAAGGCTGGCTCTGAAGAGAAGTAGGCAGCAATACTGAGAGATGGTTAGCCCTGAAAGAGGGCACCATGCAAACATTTTTACTACAGGAATCTAGCCCACCAGGAAATGTTAATCTAGGTAAAATCACTTCATCGGTAAGCAGATGTCGTTTCTAATCCTGGTTCTGTGACCCCTTGTACTTAAAGAGGGTCTAAAATAAGGATCGTCTTACCTTCCTCATCTCAAAGAGTGATGAAGAGGAAATGAGAGAAGGCACTGTCAGATTAAGAGACATTCCACAGATGGACTACATCAGAGGAGACGAGGAGCCCCGAGCGGCGTGGATAACCGCAGGCCTCTGTAACAGTCCCCACCACTTTTGGCCTCGTAATCTCGCTACTTGAAGTTGTCTGCCCTACCCTGGAACGGTGGTATTTGAACTCCCGTCCCTGGGCTGTTTATGCATTTACTGCTCAGCTTCTCCCCATTCCTTCCTCCCTTCTACCCCAGTACATCGTGAAGTGCCACGGCAACACACTGCTGCCCCAGTTCCTGGGGATGTACCGAGTCAGCGTGGACAGCGAAGACAGCTACATGCTTGTGATGCGCAACATGTTTAGCCACCGTCTTCCCGTGCACAGGAAGTATGACCTCAAGGTAAGAAGAGGATAGCTAGGGCTGAGGGAGAGGCTCCTGATGGCCTGAGAATGGGGAAGGGCCTGGGAGGGCACTTCGATGGTTCGTTTCAAAGGAAAGAAGACTGTGGGGTTTGAGTACTTGTCTTAGGAGCTGGATCCTGACTATTCTTTTAGCCACTTCTGCTGACTTGATCTTTGGGTCTCTCCACAGGGCTCCCTAGTGTCCCGAGAAGCCAGCGATAAGGAAAAGGTGATACTAATATTAGATGATAGGGTGAGGGATGAGGGAGGGCAGATAAAGGGATCTCTTTAGGATAGAGGTAGGGATCGTCAGCTACTTATTCTTATCTTAAACCGCCAAAAAGAAGAGAGATGTAAACCTGTGCTGATCCAGGGATTAAATGTTTGGAATGCGCAGTGGAAAAAGGTGCTTTCTCACTGGCATAGGTTATTTCCTGTGGAAGGTTTGGGGATGGATGAAGATGACAAACTTTAAGAGTAAAATGCTTACCCTCTACCCCCCACTCTGGGTTCTTTGTATCAAGCAGCTATTTTTGCTTAAGAAGAAGAAAGAAAAGTCAGAATGAGGGGTCTTGACTGAAAGCCATAAGCAGAAGGTAATGGGATGTGATTTGGGGTACCGCTGCAGTGACTGAGTCTGGAGAAGCCACTAGAGCTGAGAACAGCCTCTGGGGCAGCATTGCAGTGTGGAGTCAGAGAGGGGCTGTAAGATCTCTCTCCCCTCAAAGCCACTGAGTTGGACGTAGAGCCCCAGGTAGAGCATGGTTCTCTGAGACCTTGGGGAGAGGGATATATTCCCAAGGTGTCCCTTTACTTATTTTCAGGTTAAAGAATTGCCCACCCTTAAGGATATGGATTTTCTCAACAAGAACCAGAAAGTTTATATTGGTGAAGAGGAGAAGAAAGTATTTCTAGAGAAGCTAAAGAGAGACGTGGAGGTGATGATTGGGGTGCTTTGGGAAGTAGCTGCTTCCTTTAGCTCCCCACAGGGCGGTTGTTTCTCCCATTCACCATCTGAGGGAACTGCTCCCCTTCCTTTTATTCTTTGGGTTCTCTGCATGTAGGGGAGTTGGGTTTGAGACATGAAAAACTCCTGGAGGTGACCCATGGATGGGGTGGCTAGAATCAGTTAAAAGGATGACCTCAGATACCAGGACATTTATGTACTAAAGGGCAATGATATACTCCCTCAATCTGCATCCTTCCTTCCACCAAGAGGGCCTCAGAAGCTCAGGAGTGGAGGTATAAGGGTGGTATGTGGGAGTGGGGAAGGAGATCTGAGGTATCTGACTTTTCAGTGGGGTCTCAGTTCCTAGTGCAGCTGAAGATCATGGACTACAGCCTTCTGCTGGGCATCCATGACATCATTCGGGGCTCGGACCCAGAGGAGGAGGGACCTGTGCGGGAGGAGGAGTCAGAGGGGGATGGGGACTGTAGCCTGACGGGACCACCTGCGCTCGTGGGCTCCTATGGCACCTCCCCTGAGGGTATTGGCGGCTACATCCATTCTCATCGGCCCCTGGGCCCTGGAGAGTTTGAGTCCTTCATTGATGTCTACGCCATCCGGAGTGCTGAGGGTGAGAAAGGTTCTGGGACTATTAAGGGTGTGGGGCGGGGGTGGGGGGGTGGAGGGCTTGGCCTTGTAGAACAGAGACCAGGGTGGTGGGTGGAAAGGCTGCTTAGCTTTTCAAAACAGATCTGATTGCTTCTTTGGGAGAGAGAATTGGGACAACACATGCTCTTCATTGCTGGTTTCTTTCCCCAGGGGCCCCCCAGAAGGAGGTGTATTTTATGGGCCTCATTGACATCCTGACACAATATGATGCCAAGAAGAAAGCAGCTCATGCGGCCAAAACCGTCAAACATGGGGTGAGGGTTCCCCAAAGCCTTCCTGTCTTGACTGTTTGGGAACAGGGAGCCTTTTGTGCTGGAGCAGTGGGGTGGCAAAAGGACAAAGGGTTGGGGATGGAAGTGGTGTGGAGTGGAACGGAGGGTAGGCAGTGGGGAGAGGTGTCAGGGTGGCCTGACACCGTGTTCCCTATCTCCTGTCACAGGCTGGGGCAGAGATCTCCACTGTGCATCCTGAGCAGTATGCTAAGAGATTCCTGGATTTTATTACCAACATCTTTGCCTAAGAGACTGCCTGACTCCATGCTGACTGCTGCTTTATGTTCAAGGTGGCAGGGTTGTGAGAGGCTTAGGGGAATTGTGGAATGTTGACCACTGTTTCTTCTCTTCCTCCTTTGTTAAATACTAGCTACAGGCTCCTTCCATTCAGATAACTCCATCTTGTTGAGTAGGCTCTTCCTGGCCTTCAGAAATACATTGTCCTATCTCCCCCTGTCTAGTTTTCTTCCTTCTCTCTTTCCCCCCCGCCCCAACAAGTCTGCTTGCTTCATGAGAGTGTTAATGTTGACTCACTCCCAAGTGCCTTGATCTTTGTACATGTCCTGTTGTTTCTATAACATACGAGGTGATGGGGGAAGGGGGTTCTCTGCCATCTTCAGGACCTGACTGGACAGATGGACCTGGCTCAAGAAGCTACTCCGGATGCACTTTGCTGCATGGGATAAACTAAGAGTGTCTGAATTTTGCTGATAACTTTATAGAACTCACTGTGGCATGCCTCCTTCCCAGGAGGCCCTGGGAAGGAGGACTTTCAAGATACTACAGTTGTGGGTGCTGGCATGCACATATGTGATGGGATGTGGCCCATCTTACACACACATGGGGTGGAGAGTGGCGAGCCGGCTGGCACCTCACAGAGGTGGGATCCAGGAGGACTCGTGATTATGTGGGGAACTGGAGGTCTTTGTCAAGAATTGACTGCTCTCCAACCTCTTCCCTCACCCCA